GGCACGGTGGAGGGGGACGGAGGGAACAAACCCCTGGGGCGGGCGTTAGTGGGGACGGAGGTCAGGTATCCAGCTGGCAGGTGCTGGCAAAGGGCGGCTCCGTTGCCAGGGCACTGAATAGCCAAGGCAAGTGGTACCTGAGCAGGGACGGAGGGGTCCTGCCCCACTGGCTCTGCTGCTTTCCTGGGGGGCTGCATGTGTGGCCGCAGGCTTGGGAGGGCTTTAGGGGACAGAGCCCTTGGCATGCCTGGGCTCGGCCTTGCTCCGACCTAAGGTGCTCCATCCTTGCTGCTGCCCCTTTAGCGGGGCTGATCCCCCCAGACGCCACCTTGTACTTTGATGTCGTCATGCTGGACATCTGGAACAAAAACGACAAGCTGCAGATCACCACCCTCTCCAAACCGGAGCACTGCAACCGCACGGTGGAGAACTCGGACTTCGTGCGGTACCACTACAATGGCACGCTGCTGGATGGCACTCCCTTCGACTCCAGGTACGGGGCACCGGTGCTGGGGCGCAGCCTCGCCTTGGGCCACGGTGCACTGGAGCTCGGGTGCACCCTCTGCCTCGGGCTTTGGGAGCACTGGGGTGGCAGGGACCAGGGGACGCTGCCCTGGGGCAGGACATGGGGGCCCACACTGCACCCCAGTCAGAGCAGACTCCCCCCACACTCTCCCTCCCCGCACCCCAGCAAGGCCAGTGCAGCTCCATGACCCCCAAACCAGCTCCCGCCAGCACCGCTCAGGCTGGGGGAGCCGGCGTGGCCCCGGAGCCGTCCCCCCTCATTCCTCCCCACCAGCTACAGCAAGGACGGCACCTACGACACCTACGTGGGCACCGGCTGGCTGATCAAGGGCATGGACCAGGGGCTGCTGGGCATGTGCGCTGGGGAGAAGAGGAGCATCATCATCCCCCCGTTCCTTGCCTACGGGGAGAAGGGCTACGGTGAGTTGGGCATCACCCCGTCGTGCCCGGCCCCTTCCTTCTCGGCTCCGCGCAGAGCCCCCTCAGTGCATTGGGACCCGTGTCCAGGCTGACCCACGTCCCCTCCCCAGGGACCGTGATCCCTCCACAGGCCTCGCTGGTGTTCAGCGTGCTGCTGGTGGACTTTCACAATCCCAAGGATGGTGTTTTCCTGGAGCACCTGGAGGTGGGCATCACCCCGTCGTGCCCGGCCCCTTCCTTCTCGGCTCCGCGCAGAGCCCCCTCAGTGCATTGGGACCCGTGTCCAGGCTGACCCACGTCCCCTCCCCAGGGACCGTGATCCCTCCACAGGCCTCGCTGGTGTTCAGCGTGCTGCTGGTGGACTTTCACAATCCCAAGGATGGTGTTTTCCTGGAGCACCTGGAGGTGCCGGAGTCCTGCAAGCGCAGGGCTGTGAC